AAACAATGAGAAGACAAAGATGTCGAAAGATCGTCCGGATACTGAGAAGGATGATCAAAAAATCTTAAATCGACTAACGGTAAAAAGCAGAAGTCCTCATTTGCGGCCTACCAATCGACATGTTCCTCACTGACTGAATCGTAAACAGTCAACTGATCGAAGGGGCTGAAGCACGCAGAGACAGTCCCCTTTAGAGATGGGTCTTGTATCGTCTAAGCAGGGTTTGTACTAGGAACACTACATATATCAAACTTAACTCCTCAGTGTCTCAAAAGACAGAAGATTCTAGGATGAGAGCTCTATTGTGCACAGAAATATAAGTTGCTGTCTTAGGCAGTAGTGGCCACTGGCAAAGTCAGGACTAGTATTGACTGCGTTTAGCCAGGCCTATGAGTGTGTATGAGAGAATGGTGGCAGCTGCTTTTACAGGTTTGCGGAGCCAGTTAAAGTGGTGTTCAATTGTTGTGTGGCGTTATTCGAGGGGTTGTTGTGCACAGTGGCCCTGTAGGATCTATAAGGAGTCACTAAATCAAATGCGACCATGAAAGTATGGTTTTTTATAGGCTCTGGCCCTCAATATATTTGTGATATCTTACCAGGTCTAGGTAACACCATCGAAAATACGCTTGTCGTATGGCAAATAGCTTAAATCACTGACCGGACACTCTGAATGAAGAGATCATCTGAACAATCCCGTGATAGAGCATAAACGACCTCGTCTAGGATGATTATCAGTCGTTGACGTGAGATTTGGGTGTAAACTGCCTCGTTTTTGACCGCACCCGCTTCTTCATAATCCAAGATTGAATGCAAATACTCCAACATTGCCAAAGAAAGCTCCTCAAAGTCGGTCACAAAAATCTGCAGGAACCACTGTGACTCCAGGGTTAGGGCGGTGAGTCCGTGGAATTTCTTGCACAAATTGGCCAATTTCTCTAAAGCACTTCTGAAGGAGACAAACGCAATTCACAACATGACTGTGCAGACAAACGCAATATTACATTCTACTGATTAAAAAATAGTAGTTTGTATTTGTAACCTAGGTGGAACTTTTTCCCCAAGATACTCACCTATACAGTTTGACGAATCTTTGACCGGTCTTCGCTGTTCGACTGGCCACCTCCATTGACAGAATGTAGCGATCCTGAATTCGGCAGGCTAGCACCAGATGAGCAGAAATGACTTTAGTAACCAGGTCCTCATTCTCCGCGCAGTCTAGGAGCAAAGTGCGGGAGAGTACTAGAAGCAGGGCATCACAGTACTCCATGGCACAGGTCCAGGGACAGAGGTCTTGTGAAAAATCCCCCTTTAGGAGATCAGTGGTAAGATTGATGAAATTCGTCCGCGCAAGACGGTAGCAGAGACGGGTTTGCTCCTCCTCCCCACCAGATCGCAGCAATTCACGGCAGAGAGGCAAAACATCACTGATTGAGAGGCGAATTCCTGAAGTTAAAGCTTCCACCATGCTGCCAGCGTGCTCTCTCTGTGTCTAAAGGTTTATGCTAGCGGAGCAAGAACAAGAGGTCAAATGAGTCACGCTGCTCTGAATTAGTTCAGTTCATTTGCCAATGAAGGTATGTACTTTCTGCGACCAATTTTCCCCATGCCTCACTCACTTCAACATAGACTAGCGCAATAGCTTGTAAAGGTACTAAAGCCTATCCGAGAAATGTTCATAACTTACATTGCAAAGGACATTCTTGATTTTATTGAGGATATTGGGCACCAAAACATCACTGATAAATTTTTGGCTTCCCAAGATTTCGAATATTTATTTACATATGCATCGCTGGACGAACCAATATACATTTTTTGTGCCCATACATCTAAAACTCGTCTGCCACCTGAAATACTGCCTCAATTGCTATTACTCTGTACCAAACTGTTCAATTTTTATTTGATGGACAATTATTCAGACAAATGGACGGAGTCGCAAGAGGTAGTCCACGAAGGCTCACATTCGCGGATGTTTTCATGACTCATCTAGAAAAAATGGCGTCAAGACTAAATATGACAAAATCATACAGAAGCTATGTAGACGACATATTCACGATTTTTGATCAGAGGGAAGACACCGATGAATTCCTTAATTTTATGAATACCCTACATCCGAAAATTGATTTTGCAATGGAAACAGAGAAGCTCAACAAGGTATCCTTCCTAGACGTCCTCATGTTTTGAGAAGAAAATGGTTCAATAGGGCGCTCGAATTTCTACAAAAGTGCGTGGGAAGGGCAGTACCGACATTTCATGAGTTTTGTGCCAATTCAGTAGAAATGAAGTCTCGGACATACTCGTTTTCAAAGGGCAAGTAACATTTGCTATAGTGAAACGCTGTCTGCAGAGCTTTTCCGCATCAAAACAGATCTACTTAGCTGTGACTATCCTACATGCTTTATTCAGAAGTACAGCCAAAGTTGATGTAGCAGTCAGAGGCAAAAACGTTAGTCATTATATCCATACTCTTTATGGATGATGAAATTTCGAATACAATCAAGCGACGGTTGCGATGTAGCATAGTAGGGACTGTAGAGGCTATATCACTACAAATATACAAAACGTCTAAGTAAATACGC